TGTCCTTTAATTCACAACACTGAGAAAATTTCGGGACCCAAACGATCCATTAAGATCACCGATCACTTCACGTGCACCTCCGCCAATGTAATCTATTGCATAACTTGCACTTATTGCAAAAAGATTTACATCGGTGAAACAGGCAGAAGACTAGGTCACCGATTCCGAGAACACCTTCGCGACGTGGAGAGGAATGACAAGGACACATCGAAACCAGTCGCTAGACATTTTAATTTACCTAATCATTGTAAGCAACATATGGCAATCTGCGGTCTTTCCTTACACTTAGGTAGCACGGAAAGCCGTAAAACTCTTGAACAAAAGCTCATCTTTCAAACCGGCAGTCTAAATCCCACAGGTATCAACGAACGCTTTTCATTCCACTAATTTATTCGTGTTTTTCTAGTTGACCTGCTCCCACCAATCACGTAGCTCCATTTTCTGCCTTTAAAAGCACACGCAACCCACAATTCCTCTATTCGCTCCGACGAAGGGCTAACGCTCGAAACGTCAGCTTTTATAATCGTAACGGTGGCCAATTTACCATTTCAGCTTTGTTGATAGATTGAAATTATCTCTACAATTGACAAGTTACCACAGTGATAATTTTTTTTTATTATTACCACAGTGATAATAATAATAATAATAATGATAATAATAATAATAACAATAGTTTTTATTCAATCAGAGCATAAAAATACATATCCTAAGTAACAATAAAAAGTTCTAAATGATGCACGATAAGATACAATAATAATGTAAGATAGAATAATACTACACTAGATTATATTTAAAAATAAGTCTATTTACAAAAGTTTTTTTGAATCTCTCCGTTGTTATCTGAGGAAGGTGACACCTCGTAGGCAAATTATATACTAATTCTTTTTCTTTGGGAATGATCGCACTTAGCGTATGATTTTCAATATCTCTTTTGAAGACGGATTTATCTTGCTGTTCTAAAAGATTAAAAATGCTGAGTGTTTGAGAGGTAAAATGACGCTTATGGAACCTGTCTAAAAAACGCTGTATAACATTTAAATCAGAGTCAGAAGCACCATACACAGCGAGACCATAATATAAGAGAGAATGGGTAGAACTAGGATCTTAAATAAGTGATGATACAGCCAATGTAAAGAACTGTTTAATCGTGAACGCAAGAATACCGAGTGGCAGTTTGAAGAAGTAGCGAACTGGAAGAATCTTTTTGAAATCGGCGTTGTAGCAACTCTGTGTACAGAACTCAGTAAAAAAGTCAGTTTCTTTTCTCTTGTCACTTTTCCTCCAAACAGGGAATACGGGCACAGGATTCTCCATCTCAGATGAGGGCTTTCTGAATGTTGCGTCTGCTCTTGATGCAGAAACAACCTCTTTCTATTCTCTCGAGATCACAGCCACGGACCGGCACCCTAGCCAGCCGCTCTCCAATAAAGCAAAAGTAACCATTATTGTCACAGGTAAGATAGTTCATCTCTCGTCTCATTATTTACAAAAGCGCATTTCAGTTTTTCCAGGGTTCAAGCTGTTTGCATTGGTAAATTTGTAACTCGTGTGTCCGCTGGTTTATACGAAATTATCGATAACTAAGAGTGAGTTATCAATAATTACCGGACACATTAAATCTCAGTACTCTTTTTTTTTTCAAGCCGTTGGCTTTATCGTCGTTCGTAATATGGAAAGCACCCATAAAATCAATCGTATTTTGTTTATTCTAGACGTGAACGAACACACTCCGCAATTTACAGATGGCGGATCATATACTACCCTGTTGACCGAGAATGCTACCGTTGGAGCTTTAGTTTCCAGCGTTTCGGCTACAGATCTGGACATTGGCTCTGTATATGGCGTAGTTAGCTACGCAATCGCATCCGGGAACGCCGATGGCACGTTTGCGATCAGACCGACTGATGGTGTGGTTTTTGTGAAGCGTCCGCTTGACAGGGAAACAACAGGCTCTTACAATCTTACAATTAAAGCCAGCGATCAAGATCCAGATTCTCCCTTGTCATCCACAGCCACACTTCAAGTTACACTCACTGACATCAATGACAACCCGCCTATATGCGTTCCTTGCATTCATGGCTTGTCAATCAAGGAGTCTGTTACCATAGGGACGACAGTTGTTCAGTTGAACTGTTCGGACGCAGATCTCTCGCCGAATGTAATCAGTGCGTACACAATAACTACTGGTTAGTATTAATACAGAGCTTCAAACTTTGATAAAAATATCTTGACTACCTCCCTTTGGAGTTGTAGTCCTGAAAAGGTCCGCGGCCGATAACCAACGTATCGACCTGATCCTCCCAAGGGGTCGTGCTGATTACTTCGGGAGATACATATTAGAATATCCTTTGGAACAGGTGAAGGTCTGGGTTGAAGAAGACCGCAATAAAATCCAGAAGTATGAAAATAGACATGGTGCCGTTTCCAAATAAGCCATATTCACGATCTTTTAAGGAAGAAGCTAGAACCGTAGAGGAACACGATATAAGTAATGCATCAACACTGTTTTCATTCTTTAGTTCTTAGAATTGTTAGTGGAAGTTTTCGTTTTGTTTAATTGTTGTTTTAGATAGGTGTTCTTCGTCGTGTTTGATAGAATCATTCTTCACTGTTCATGCTACGTTAATTGATAGAGACTGTACATTTAACTCATTAGGGTTAAGGACTTTTTAGGTTTGAGCGTTTAGTTAGGAGCCTTTTTTTCGAGTAAAAACCCTGTTTGGATTAGGTCAACTTCGAAGTAATCCCATGGAAATGGTTGTCAAGGCCTAAGGTTGTCATGGTCTATATATGAATAGTCACCTTATGTTGATGATTACTGCTGATGAAGTGTTTATTTCGTGTTTTGAACTCGTGCTGCAGTTTTAACTGCATAGCTGTATTTGTTTCTTTTAGGGAATACGACTGCCTTTGGTGTGAACGGAGATGGTCTGGTGACCACACTCGTCACTCTTGACTTTGAGGCTATCGAGTCTCACCTGCTCGTGGTAACGGTATCTGATGGAGGTTCGCCCCAGCTCACCACCAACGTAACTGTTAGTATCCAGGTCACCGGAGCTAATGAGTTTTCGCCTGTATTTAGTAACTCGACTTATACAGTCAGCCACTCAGAGGTAAGGTGACAATACTTGTCTGTCTTGTACGGAAGATAAAAACCCAGCGATATAGTACCACGAAGTTTTCTCTTATGGATAGGGGAAAGCCTTATATTCCTATAATACACAGATATCCTAACTTATGTTTTAAACGCTCGTTCCAGGACATTGTCATTGGCACCGCTATTGCAACAGTGGCAGCTGCTGACCGAGACCACGGACCTGACGGCACTATCCTCTTCGCTTTGATCGATGGTGACTCTGAAGGGAGATTTCAAATCGATCCTAAGTCGGGCGTAATTGAACTGAGAAAACAGCTGGATCGTGAGACGACGGAAGTGTATTCTCTGACCATTCGTGCCACTGACCAAGGCGTGCCTAGCTTGTCGGGTACAGTGACAGTTCATGTGAAGGTACTTGACGTCAATGATAATCCACCACTTTGTAACCATTCCTCCTACGTCATCGAGTTAGCAGAGAACTTCACAGTCAATGGGACGGTACTGCACCTACAATGTAGTGACGCTGACGAAGGAGAAAATTCTGCTGTTTCATACAACATATCTTCAGGTAAGATCACCGTTGTACATTCCAATTTTTTTTGTTTTTCTAATAAGAGCAGCGCAAAATCAATGTAAGTAAAGTCTGTTTACGAGCCTAGTGGCCTATTAGGCCGGTGCTTAACTCCGGTTTCTGTAGCATGAAGCGACTAGGAGTATTTCTACTCCCCCCTGGATGGGATGCTAGTCCATCGCAGGGTTACCCCCAGCATTAAATTGCCGGTACCCATTTATACACCTGGGTGAAGAGAGGCACTGTGAGAGTAAAGTGTCTTGCCTAAGAACACAACACAACGTCCCGGCCGGGGCTCGAACCCGGATCACTCGATCCGGAGTCGAGCGCACTAACCATGAGGCCACCGCGCCTCCACAAAGTCAATGTGGTATCAATGATATTTTAGCATGTCTTATCTTATGTTGGTTACATTCAATTCAACTTCCCATGAAACATTGCATTGATGGTCGTGCATATCAATGATGTGCTCGAAAAAGTAATCCTGCACAGTTAAACCCTTTTGTTTTCCCTTTCATATCATGAGACAAGGAATGCCTTGCTACCCAAGGTTTCTTGAAAGCTGTAATGATACACTACAACCTGATCGTCACGCTTCCTATATGTCTACCTGGATATCGTGTTCCTATAATTTCGTAGTACTGGAGATCATTTGTTGGAGTTTGATCAGAAATGTCTTTGTTTCTTTCTCAGGAAACACAAATTCTACGTTCAACGTTAATTCAAAGACAGGGATCCTATTCTTGTCAGTTCCCCTTAACCTGGAGTCTCAGGCATACCACGATTTGATCATCACTGTTAGGGATAATGGATCTCCACAGCTCTCCACACAGGTCACAGCATATATCGTGATTACAGCCATTAATGAGTTCGCCCCAATATTCACTCAGAATGGCTTCTATAATTTATCAATTCCCGAGGATACCTCTGTTGGTACCAGTTTGGTAAGAGTGCAGGCTCAAGACGAGGACAGAGGTAAACAAGGCATGGTTTCCTACTCCATTTCACTTGGGAATGAGGACGGCATGTTCTATCTAGATGGCAACCTTGGGACTTTGATCCTTAGGAAGCCATTGGACCATGAAACTCGTTCTCAGTATAGCTTGACGGTGCGTGCGTCTGATAACGCTCCCAAGCCCCTAACAAAATGGAGCTTTGCAACTGTGAACATAACTATTTTGGACCTCAACGACAACGCTCCTTGGTGCTCTCAAAGTGCAGTGGTAGTTTCTTTGATGGAGTCTACAGTTGTAGGGACAGTGGTATTCACACCAAACTGTACAGATGTAGACTCCTCGTCGCTTCTTTCTTATCAAATATCTGAGGGAAACCACAAAGGAAACTTCAATGTGTCTTCAGCCGAGGTGAGGCTCAACGGGTCACTTAACATCGAAGATGAGTCATTATTCAACCTTCTGCTGACCGTTTCTGATTCCGGCTCACCAATGAAGCATGCTTACATCTCATTGACAGTCAAAGTTCTTCCAGTGAATGAACATGAGCCCACGTTTGTTGCCAATGACCAACTGTATAATTTGGACGTCTTGGAAAACATCACATTAGGTAAGGGGAAAGTGCCTTTTTATCTTTCGTAAAACGTTTTCCCGCGACAAATTTCGTTTCATATATTGAACAGAAATACTAATAATTGTTAAAAAAAAATAGTAATTATCTTATCTTTTTTTCTTTTTTTTTTTTTTTTCTTTCATAAGGAACTGTCGTTTTTCAAGCTCAGGTCATAGACAATGACACAGGAATACACGGAGACCTGCGATACGTTCTTGTCAGCGGCAACGTAGACAACAAATTTTATTTGGACGAGGCACTTGGAAGACTGGTACTGGTCAAAAGCTTAGACAGAGAGACCACTGACCAGTATAATATCAGTCTCAGGGTAGAAGACAGTGCACAAGGTTCTCCGGATGCTAAGTGTTCCAATGTGACAGTGTACATTTCAGTTTCAGATGTAAATGATAACTCACCTGTGTGCTCACCAGCTTTATTTGTCAAGGAAATTCCAGAGGGTAAGTGAAAATGAGGAGGAAGTGACAGGAAATGACTGTTGGGGTCAATTTAGTAATAGTTAAGGGTATTATCTCGGGATTTCTTTCCTGTAGTTGTAGTAGTTGGGGAGGGCAAAACTTAAATCAATTTCAAATTGAAAGAGAGTAATCTAAGATTTTCTCTAAAATAATCTACTAGTCGTTCAAAAATTTTAGCAAAATCTGTTTTGTTTACGACCGAAAATCACTTTACTCACCATCCATAACTGAAAAGATAGCCAGTAGCGTGACCAATCAGATTGCAGTATTTGTGATATTTGCTCTAAATAAAAATTAAACTTAGCTCTTAGAAAAGAATGAAAAGAGACCAAAATGAAGTCCGTTCAACAAACCACACCAAGATTTCGTAAAGTACACTTATGAACAATAAAATTCACACCTACAGCAAGTTTCTCTTTGCAAATACAATTTTTCAGGAGAAGTTGTTTCTTATACGTATCAGCGACGAAAAAAATAACTCTGCACCTGGTACAATTTCCCAGAAACTGAAGTATCTTTCTCAAGGTATCTACCAGTTTAAGGTTCATCTGAACAAAGATTTCCTGTGATCAGTCTCCTTAGCTTGTTTAAAAAGTGACATGACAATTTAGAACAAGGAAAGTTACCGAGGAATTATTTTTCATATTCAGCCATCTGCAAAACCAAGCATGTCCTCATTATTTCCAAAACGAGAGTCCAATGATAAGGATGATAATAATCTCGCTCCTTTTTACTTTTAAATGTTAACAAATGTAAATTGTTTTTTTTTCCCCAGACATTTCTCTGGACGCAAACGTGACGGCAATTGCCTGCTCCGATGAAGACCTGGGACCAAATGGAAATTTCTCTTTTGAAATCGTCAGCGGAAACTTTGGAAACAAGTTCAGACTGGATGACAACAGGATCGTTGTAAATGATGCACTGGATCACGAGAATGGAAGTGAATATGGCTTGGAGATTTATGTGACAGACCACGGCGTTCCAAATAATATAGCTGTTGTTATGGTAACAGTGTATGTGAAAGCTAAAAACGAGTTCACCCCAATCTTTCAGTATCCCAACTACACGGTCAATATCTCTGAAACTACAGCAATCGGTGAGTTTATTTTCAAATTTCCTTTTCAAAATTTCACGAGAGAATTGCATCCATTGACCTATACCTGGTAGGACAAAATCTGAAGTCGTAAACATTATTACATGCACTGAAGTACTAATTGATCACAAACGAAGGTCTTGTAAAGAGTGATGGAATCTAGAGCTGCCTTACACAGCTGAGGCAATAGTACTTCTTGAAAGAGGGGGACTACAACTGAGTGTTCAAATATGGTTTTATCCCAAGACTAAAGATTGAAAGAATTACCGTTTACAAAATGTTAATAATAACGCTTTGATGGTGCTCAGCAGTTTTCATTCTAATGGCAACACGTTGAGTATCACCTACTTATGACTCTTCAGTGCTAGTTCTATGAGCGCGTTACAGACTTAGAAAGAGCCACGCAGGACACTCTTGCATTCAGAGCGAGTTTTTGTAGACTACATAACCGACGAAGGGCTAACGCTCGAAACGTCAGCTTTTGTAATCGTTACGTTGGCCAATTTACCATTTCAACTTTGTTGATATATCCAAATTATTACATAACCGAAGGTCCTGGTTTAACTGTATGAAGCAACTTTATTTAAACCCTGGAAGTCAATAAAAGAAATCAGTGCTAGAACAATTGGGACGCGTAGGTTTCATTTTTTCTTTTGTTTCCTAAACATACATGACTCTGAATTCTTCAGGTTCCCAAGTATTTCACGCAAGCGCAACTGACTCAGACGAAGGCCTTCACGGGGAATTAGAATATTCCATCACCGGCGGCTTGGACGGAGGAATAGACTTCACTGTGGACTTGAAAGAGGGACAAGTTTTTGTAGGGGCTGAACTAGATAGAGAAACAAGGGACCTCTATGTCTTGAACCTAACGGTTAAGGACAGGGCCTCTAAAGAGAGTGACCGTAGATTATCTACTATGAAGGTTAGTGCTGATACAAGCAGCTGGTGAAGGTCTAAATTGTACGATATATGTCTAATAAAACTTAATTTGTCTAAATTGATTGCCCAACGTTAAGATTGGCTCTTTATAAGATTACTGAACTCTTGGCAAGCTCATTAGCTTGATTAAAGTTTGTTTAAAAACAGTATTTTTGATGTTACAGTTGAAAGTTGAGTCTAGATTCCTACTCACGGTTTTTATGCACAGTTATCCGCAACACTCGTATTGGCTCTCAACAGGGCAGGCTAGGGAGACCACTACTCTGAGGAATAGCAAACAAATGACTCCGTTTGCGTAATGGCTGCTCTAACAAAGTGTTCTCTTACTAACAGAACAGAGTAGCCTTCTAAGGTATCAGGTTTACTTGTCTGGTTGCCAGACGTAACACTTCCAATACCTTTTGAATTAAGCAAGTTTATCATTGGTGGTGTTGAGATGCAATGTTTATATGAAGTTCATATATTTTGAACTGCGGTATTAGATACGTATGATGTGCGATCCTCGCAGTAGATAGCGCTATTTATGCAATAGCGAAAATCAGACCTGAAAAAAATCAGGCCTGTATGGGACTCGAACCACTGACCTCTGCCATACAAGTGCAGTGCTCTACCAATTGAGCTAACAAGCCAACTGGGAGCAGGCCGTTAAGTTGATTGGTGGTGTTATTCAAATCTGTGAACGTACCAACAATTTGATTTTAAGTTCCTCGCATAACCACCTTTTCCGCCATAACCTTACAGTTGGTCATCCACATATCTGACGAGAACGACAATCCACCGGTCTTCACCCAGGGGATATACACTGGCACTATCCCTGAGAATGTACCCTCAGGATTTTTAGTCACTCAGGTTAACACCACAGACGCCGACATCGGAATCAATGCTGAGCATACATTCACAATCACAGGTACAAAAACAATCAAATGAATGAACGTAAAGAAAAATACCTGAAGTTTTCTCCAGTTATGTCACCTTTTACCAACGTTTGTCTAGTTATTCGCTGAAATCAATGACTAATGCATTCTGATTCTAGGAGGCGACGGTGTCGGGAAATTCAGCATCAATAGTTCTTCTGGCGTGATATCCGCTCGGTCAGGCCTGGACCGAGAAACAAAAGACACCTACTACTTGTCAATCACAGCCCAAGATGGTGGCACCCCACCACTGACCGGGTTATGCGCAGTGCGCGTGTTCATATCTGATACTAATGATCACAAGCCCGTGTTCAGTCCTGCCCTGTATCTAACGAGCATTTCAGAAGCCACGTCTTCTGGAACTGACGTCATACCTGTACATGCGCACGATAAGGATGCGGGAATAAACGCGAGAATAGATTTTTCTATCGTTGGTGGAGATCCTAAGAAGCAATTTCAGGTGAGTTTTCTTGAATGAACGGAACGGCCAAATTCTTCAAACTAACATTATAAGAATTGTAGGAGAGAAAATAGGGAGAATTGCTAAGGAGATCCAACCTCGTTCCCAGGGTCTCTCATCTTCCCGCCCCCTGGAGCAAGGTTGGATCTCCTTAGCAATTCTCCCTACTTTCTCACCTACAGGGGGCGGGAAGATGAGAGACCCTGGGAACGAGGTTGAAGGAGATCTTGGGAGTGAAAAGGTTGATAGAGAACCAAAGACGTTTTGCTTGCTCTCAGTAGACATGTTTGAACTCTATGTAGTCAGCTGAGCTCTCTGTTAACATGGCTGTAAAATTGTGCACTTAAAAAATGGAGACTAATTTGAATTATTAGGACTTTCGCCTCATTCCAAAAGCGAGTTTGTTTCTCGTTGGATAATCGTTCTCTATCGCACGTTAATGTGCGCATCGAACTGTGAAATATCCTACCTTTCGTGTAAGCATACATTTCTCTCCAAAACAGGTGAACTCTGCAGGTATGATAAGCATCAAGAATTCTTTAGATCGGGAGGAAATTCCTTTCTACACCTTGCTAATTCAAGCGTCAGACCAAGGCACCCCTCCCCTGACAGAGACCGTGTTTGTCAACGTTACAATCGAGGATTTCAACGACAATCCACCGGTGTTTTCTGATAGTAATTTTACTGTAACTGTGGCTGAAAATCTGCCAGTTGGCTCACGATTTCTAAATGTAACTGCATCAGATTCTGATATTGGGGACAATGCCGTGCTAACGTGGTCTATCGTAAGTGGAAACACTGGTGACGTCATGGCCATAGAGTCATCTTCAGGGATATTATTTAATCTGGGTGAGTTGGCCAATCTCTTTAAAGGGGGAAAGTTTACAAAGAAACTGGTGATGCGTCAGTGAGGAGTATAACAAGATAATTTGGTTTTATTAACTTAGTTGATAATGTAAATTGGCTGCCGTAAAGAGTTTTGAAAGCTGACGTTTTGAGTGTTAGTCCTTCTTCAGAGTAAATGATTGGCCAATGTCTGTTTGGTTACTCGCTTTGTCCCTATGAATGGAATTCGCTTGTTTGTATTTTGAGTTCTCATCTTTCCTTCCTTCCTTGTGTTTTCCCTTGTTGTGACTTTTAGTTACCTCATGTTTAGACGTATGTTGCATAGCATCTGATAGGCTTTTTTTTTCTATACCATTTCTTCGTTTACAGGTTCATTTGACCGTGAGACCACCCCAGAATATCTCTTGACAGTGAGAGTCAAAGATGCTGGAAATCCTCCCTTGAACTCTTCAACCAAAGTCCGAGTAAGAATAAGCGACAGTAATGACAACTCCCCCGAGTTCAGCGAAGCCGATTACACCTTTTTCGTCGTAGAAAACCAGCCAATAGGAACTTCCGTTGGAGAAGTACAGGCCAATGATATTGATAACGGCACGCATGCGCAGCTGGTGTATTCTATCGAGTCTGGAGATGAAGACGATCATTTTTCCATAAACCAAGTCCAAGGGACTATTTACACGGCCGTAGTGCTGGACAGGGAAGATGTCAGGGAATATAGGATCAGGGTCAAAGCTTCAGATTCGGCTGTGTTTCCATCAGGCCTATCAACCGTCACGAACGTTTACATAACAGTTTTAGACCAGAATGACAACCGCCCCAGTTTCCCTCAGCCGTTTTATAACGCATCGGTCCCAGAAAATTCCCCATCCGGAGTATCAGTTACCACGGTAACAGCTAAGGATCTTGATAGTGACGCTAATGCAGAGTTGACGTATAGCATCACCCATGAATCTTCAGTGGGATATTTTAGTATCAACAGTGCAACTGGAGAGGTGTTTGTAAGAAGCTCGTTTGATTACGAGGCAGTGAAATTTGTGAATGTTACAATAACCGCGCAAGACAATGGGATTGTCAGGCTAAATAGCTCTGTTTCCATGAAAGTTTACATAGAGGACGTAAATGACAACTTTCCAGTTTTTGAGAAAGGTCAGTAACTGAACCTTATAGCAGCTCTTGCTGTAATATTCCTTTACTAATCAACGTTCTTATTCAGGGTTCCCCCGCTCCTTGAAAGTCCTTGAAAGTCCGTGAAACTCCTTGAATTTAAGTTTTTGTTTTCGAGGACTTGAAAACCCTTGAAATTAGACACAGGTCCGGAAAAGTCCTTGAAAATAAATGCAGACGAATCAAAGTCGAAGTTTTCTTTTGTCTTCGGTGTATAAAATGTAAGTTCCTAGCACAAATCGCGAAAACGAGTTTTCCATTCAAGTCCCGCGTCCGATTATGATGTTTGACACGTGATTTTCATATATTTTGTACCTGATTGGCGCATTGAAAATAACCTTGGTTACCTAGCACGTGATCACTCTGATGTGCATGCTTGAAGTCACGCTCGTTGGACTTCTCAGCCGCTCCTATTTAATGCAGACGGTCCTTGACTTTGAGAACCCAAGTCCTTGAAAATGACCTAAAAAGTCCTATAAAGTCCTTGAATTGGGTTCCGCAAAAAGTGCAATAACCCTGCTTATTGTTAAAATTCCCCTTTTAAGCTCTTTTTCTCTAATTTTGGTTAAAGGATTAAATAGTAAAACAGGATTGGGCGAGAGGGGTACAGGGAGAGAAGGGGAAGATTTTTGCGCGAAAAAGTTTGAATAAGAGGATAGAAAAATTTGGTGTAAAGATAAGTATTGTTCATCGTCTTATTAGTGAATCGATTCCTTTCAAACTTTGAATTACTTGGATTTAGCTCGTGACCTGATTAAAAAGCGTATGTTAAAAAAAAGCCGTGGTTCTGTGTGTGCAAGAGCTCCCTGCTAGTGAAAAACGTTTGAAACATTTGGAACGAATTATTGAGAGTTTTTTTTTAAGTTGCTATAAAGGGAAGCACTTTGTTTTTAAAATCTCTTAACACATTTTTTTATTCTTTTGCGACATTATTGCAACCTTACAGATTTCTACGATGCTCTTATTCGTCATGACCGATCACTCGACTCAGCTCCCATTGTTACAGTCTCTGCAACAGACAAAGACTCTGGTGATATGGGGACTGTGGAATATAACCTGCTGGAAGCCTCTTCGGTTTTTACTGTGGGACGCAGCGATGGCAATATTCGCCTCTCTTCATCTCCTGAGATCGGTAGAGTAAACTTTTCTCATAAATCTTTTCAATTGATTATGGGCGTAAGGTTTTTAAAGACAAAACAACTAATTTAATTATTTTTTAAGGATCATGTCATATCTTAATTCCTAAAACGTCTTCTTTTCCTGTAGGGAAAAAATACGTGCTGCGCCTGCGCGCTACTGACCAAGGCACGCCGCCGTTGACTAGTGGCATCATTACGGTACGAATTGACGTGATTGATCCAGAGAAAACAATGGTTGATATAGAACTTGAAATAACTTTGGAGCAATTTGAGGCAAATCGTGAGCTGTTTCTTGAGAAAATATCCAAGCTTTTGGGAGCTGAAGTGGGCATTTCAGAGATCGTTGTTATAACTGAAGAAGCAAGAAGACGAAAAAGAGAAACAAAAACTCGGTAAGGGTAAATTTCCCTGTTTGTACCCATTTGGTATTCCCACATTTTTTCATGCTTGGCCTGTTTCTGATTAAACTCTTTCATTTGTCGTGTGTTACCCATGTATGTAGTCATAACTGTTGTGTCTTTGGCTTTTCTGGACACCTCCGCCATCGTGGTAGTATGCACAAAGCTTGTTGCATCTGAAAGTGTAGGCTGCCTTACCGAATATGTATACCAAAGAATGTAGCTAGAGATTTTCAAGTTCGTTATTCCATCCCTAGCCATTACTCTCTCCTCTTAGTTTATCATTGCCTTTTTGTACTTTTTTGGTGGTCTCAACTGATTTGAATGCCTTAAAATAATATGTTTCAGCCTAAAGTTTACTCTTGCTACGCAGTGCAGCTTTCACTGAGTGCTCTGGTGAAACTTGGTGTCTACTTTTAATTTTATCGATATCCTCTAAGTTCACTCCTAATAATTCCTTTATTTTCAGTCTTAAAGTCACCATATATGCTGTGAAAAATCCAACCGGTAATACCACAGATCTTAATGAAAAATTATCGCATGTCAAAGACTATATGACACGAGACGATATTCTGAGCGTTCTCCTGGATGAGGATGGAAATCTTAATCCAAACCTGACAAATGACAAGGAGTTAGAGGTAAAAAGGTGCTACAAACGCCAAGAGCATGAAAAATAATCACCGACTTTTAGTGCAGGAAAATTTGCTACTGATTCCGAGCGCGGAGGAGATTTCCATTAATAAT